TTATGATATATCACGTTTTATTACTTTGGAATTGTATTAAAGTAGGGGTAATTATTTTTTGCTGTGTGTAACTTACTTTTAAAATGGGTACCGAGATTCCTACGCTATTGCTAATTATTAGAGTTGTGTTGTGGTGAGTGAATAGATGTGTTATGATAAATTTCTAACACACAAAGCACATCGATTTGTTTCAAAGGTAAGATTTTTATATTTCTGTTTATTTATACAATAAGAAATACCCAATCTTACATATTAATTACAAAAGCGGTAATCTTTAATAAGAAGTGGCTACAATATTTCTGTCTACAGATAAACCTTTAGTTGCGTACTAACAGTATAATATTGCGTTATGGGTGAACTGAAGAACACTTTATGATATAGGTATAAAATAATTAACTATTATTAGTAAATTTTTACCATTATCTATTTCCAATACTACACCATAATTTAATGTTGGGTTTTTGATACGTAAAATATCGCAATTACTTGATTAATGAATAGCGTTGATGGGAAAAGAACGTTTCTCGTTCGAATCACATACCTATTAAGGTGTTATTTCTTAATTGTAATTAAATTGAGACATTAAGTTTGATTAAGCTATATTCAGTATAGTTTATATAATGGTTTTGTTCAATATAAAATTCAGAATTTGTTTGGTTAAAATCTAAATCAAATTTCGCTGCACATGATCAAAAATATTTAATAGGTAAATAGGTATTAAAATGTTATCAATATGTGCACTTATTTTTTGAGTATTAAGTATCACATATTTATCAGGAATTAACTGTTAAAATGATATAAATAAATTACAAACAGCAACAACAAAATAGTGCGTAAGAATAATCTGTGTTGCTTTAGAAATAGAATTAAAAAAGTTTCGTTTAATGTTTCGCAAGTATTTTTATTTGCATTTTTTACTTTGATTTATTAATAAATTGATTCCAAATGTACGGTAAGGATTGAGCACAACTACTTTGCCGACGGATTTGATGTGCAAATGATGATTACAATCAATTTTAACATTTATTAAAATAAATTGACTAATCAGCAAATTATTTTTTTTAAGATTTACATTTTTGACGATTTATATACGTAGTTTAAATGCTTTCGAAACAATATATTAAAATTTTGAAACCTTCAAAATTGATTATAACGTTTCTTTTTAGTATTTAAGAGTAGCAAATCATATTCTGAAATTAATAGGCTTTTTTATTTACTATATTGTGATTAAATGAAACCTTTTTAATTCATTTTCGCCGTTGATGTTGGTATCTACTACAAAGTATAAATTTTCTGTAAGAAGTTTTGAGAATTTTCGATGAAAAAAAAAACGCATAATGGAAATTGATTTCTTTCTATCATATAATAACTTGATTTTATTCAGAGTAAGAAGTAAGAAACAAATGAAAAATGTATTTGAAGATGGCGAATTATTTTTTGAACTGATGAATAAAATGCTTATTTGTTTAAAGTAAAGAAGGCTTCGAACTAACGGCATTATAAATACAGTTTTTACGAAATGTTAAACTCTCTTGTGGAAGCAACTTTAACTTCACGATTATATAGAAAATCGTATTTTTTTGAAGTTATTTACATTTAGGCAATACTTTAATTAAATTACGGATTAATTTAGAATCCTTAATGATAGGTAAACATGGCTCTAAAAGAATTAATCGTTTTGTAATAAATGCAGAATATTGGATCAGTCAAATTTTCTCATGGAAATATATATCTACTGCATTTAACTTCTGTTATGTTGATTCCGTGGATAGTAAATTGCATGGATGACATATTTGCTGCTGATCGCTGTACTTGAAAACATGCCGTTTTACGTTTTTGCAAATATTTAACGGTAATACTTATCCCAATAGCCGCGGCATTGTTTAAAAGTATTTTTTACCATACCCCTGTTGAAACTACGATATTTTCCTATGATTACAATGATGAAAACGCAACATTCCCTATCGGATAAGAAATCGCATTAATTCCTTATTAAAAAGAAACTTTACCATCCTCTGCCTGGTTTCCAAATTCGGTTGGTAATTTCCATGAAGCGGATGCTAAAATGCTGTCCTAATAATAAGCAGTTAATGCGATTTTTTAGCTGGAAGATTATATTGCACTTCCTCGTGTCCTTGAAATCGGAAAAATTGTACTCAGATCAGGGATATTGTAAAATAGTATATAGGGGCTTCCAGAAGAAAGGACAGTAAAAACAATATGAAAGTGTCCATAAGGGAATGACGTACCTCCTTCCCTTTCTCGGTGGGTAATGTAATTAAGACAGTGTTTTACGAATTATTACAAGCAGCATGGTAAACGCCATCTATAGTATATTTCTACATAGCTTACCACGAAGGATTTGTTATTCTTCCAATATGTTTATGGACCTTGCTGAACATTTTTGATTTCCACTAAATGCAGCAATATACTACAGATAGCGTTTACAACGCTGTTCGCAGTAATTCATAAAATGGTGTTTTAAGGTAGTAGATGGGAGGGAGTATATTGCTTCAAATTGTCTACGACGCTGCTAACTTCATTATGAGTTTGACGTTAATTTACCTTTTTTTTAGTGTATCATACTTCTGATATTATAAGTGCATGTAGATTTTAAGACATTTCTTCTCGAGTAATCACATTCTTGGATTGTTAAACGTGTAGGTACTTTACGACATAGTCTGCTTGTAATTAGTTGGCTTCAAATGTTGCAATGCTACCTGCATCATCTACAGCCATGCTGAATTCAAACAAAAGGAAGAACACTTCGTTTGTGTTGTCTTTTCCTAAATATATCCGCCAAAAAACGTTGCGAAAGTGTCATTTTTCAGATATGGTGTAGTAAACTACACATTTTGGACACATTATACATATTATAGACACACTATTTTTTTTTAATGACTTCGATCTGATTTTCGGTT